AAAACACTACTTTAAGATGAAGGAAAAAAGGGTGTCGTTTACCTCATGCAAAATAGACACGAGGAAGCGAAAGAGCGAAATGTAGGGCCACGTAATTGGTTTCAACATTCGCCTTTAACGACGAATAACTGTTTTTGATGGCGCTATTCTACAAGTGATAACCACACGCCCGAGCTCTACGCTGCAGCATACTCAGGGGCTTTTTTATCGCCTTAGTAGGCTATTTAAGATCCTACGTCAGAGATCCTGCCGCAGTCAGGTAGCAGCGCTCGCTCGATGAAGGCGTGGGTGTTTCTTTGTCTAAATTGCTGTCGTCTGATCGTGTACTTAAGGTGAAATGATTCGCACAACGATTCTTGGTATTATTTAAAAGTGTATTGTTGGTATTTCTCTTTCTCTTTTTTCCTCACTCCCTCCCTCTCTCTTCTCTCTCTCTCTCTCTCTCTCTCTCTCTCTCTCTCTCTCTCTCTCTCTCTCTCTCTCTCTCTCTCTCTCTCTCTCTCTCTCTCGCTTTCAACCACTCACTCTCTTGCTCTCCCTTTCTCCCCCACCCCCCTCTCTCTCTATCTATTAACCTCTCTCTTCATTAACAATGTTACTCACTAAACAGAAATGAAAGCCCATATAATACAAAGCCATTCATCTCCTGCCTTCTGAGCTCTACGAACAATAGCTACACAACGGTATCTACACGCAACAATGATCTACAACTTCCCGTGCGTGGCCCAAAAGGTTCTACTGAATGGTTACGAGGCCTCACCAGCCACATAAATCTTCTGCAATAAAGTTTCAAATTATCCCTGCAACACTAACGCCATTCAGGGAGAGAGACGCCTGTTTATTCGGGAAGTTTCATCCTTTATAGTTAAAGAGAGAGAGAGAGAGAGGGAGGAGGGAGGGAGAGAGAGAGAGAGACAGACAGACAGACAGACAGACAGACAGACAGACAGACAGACAGACAGACAGACAGACAGACAGAGAAGGAAGACAGAGAGAGAATATCATCAAAGTATTACGATACGCTCAAATTATGAAGATATTTTACCAGTGGAAGAATTCATGCCGTGAACTCGGTCAGCAAAACATTTGTTTTAGTTTTACTTTTTATATTGCAACTTCTCAGTTTAGTAACTGCTTGTTACGAACACTTTCTATAAAACAAATGAATTTTGTTTTGAATTGAATCTTGAATCTATTCCTTTGCGTCGAATAAATAATACAGATTAATTTCTCTTTGTATAAAATCGTAAAATATAGATTCTTTGCAAGAGGCTATGGCCATAAACCAAAAGCTAAAAAGTTGCGTTCACATCAGAAGCTGAAATTATAGTGTATGTAAAGGTCGAATCATTTCGATATCGAGTAGTATATTCATGCACACGGCGCCAGGAGGTCTTGTGGCGTGCTTACGTGTAACGATACACATTAGCATGGTTGAGGATATATGTTCACACGCAAAAAGGAAGAAAATGTATATATATATATATATATATATATATATTATATATATATATATATATATATATATATATATATATATATATATATATATATATATATATATATATATATAATCTATATATCTATATATATATATATAATATATATATATATATATATATATATATATATATATATATATATATATATATATATATATATATATATATATATATATATATATATATTATATATATATATTATATTATTATATTACATTACTATATATATATATTCGGGCCCTGGCTAGGGCCCCCGGCCCGAAAAAAAAATCAATCCCCATCCAACTGAACCGAAAACAAGGGTGCCGGCCACAGTTTTCTCAGCAACCACATGGAATTGGGAGGGAATCTTGGGCGCGTAAGAAAGGTCTGAGAGGTCCTGCGTGGCTTAGGCTATGTGATGATAAGGTGATAGCTATGATAAGGGGTCCCTATAAGGGGTCAGGACGCGAAAAAAAAAATCATACCGCTTAAATATTGAAGCAACAGTACATGGTTGCAGGTTTATTTAAGGTGCTATGGAAACCTATCACAGAGTACATTACTAAATTAGACTGGGTACGGTATGAAAAGTTTCATATCCCTTATAGACTCTTACAAACACCCCTAAACAATGGCAAGGGTTATAGAGGTGATCCAGTAAATGAGAATGGACATGTTTAGGGTAAGGGAGATAATCGAGGATGCTCTGGAAGCTTTGATTGAGTAGAGGTGATTGGGCATGGCTTGAGATCTCGCATTGCATTTAAATATAATGCGTCACCTTATCGGGGCGGCGCCTCTAAATTGCATATATATATATATATATATATATATATATATATATATATATATATATATATATATATATATATATATATATATATATATATATATTTTATATATATATTGATCTTATTTAATCATTTTAGCCTCCAGTATATAATTTCATATATCATGGAATGAATTTTAAATCGATGTACTTTTTCTTGTTTCAGACATGCCTCTCCCTGAAGGCCCCAGCATCGCTTCCCTGACCCGCGTGGCGAAGGGTCATGCCCCAGCCGCGTCTCCTCTGACCCGTCGTGTTTAGTGCCCAAGCCGTTCGCGATGACGATACCAAGACTTTCCGGAAACGAGACGCTCACGAACCTCGTGGAGTCCGACCTCAACGTCTCCGGCCTCGAGGAGGAACCGCTCTTCGGAGTATGACTTCGAGCTGGCGATGCCCGTGTGGGAGATCGTGGTGACCGTCGTCTCCTTAGGCGTCATCATCATCTTCACCATCATCGGCAACGTGCTGGTGATCCTGTCCGTGTTCACGTACCGGCCGCTGCGCATCGTGCAGAACTTCTTCATCGTGTCGCTGGCCGTGGCCGACCTGACGGTGGCCGTGTTCGTGCTGCCCTTCAACGTGGCCTACAGCATCATCGGCAAGTGGGTGTTCGGCATCCACCTGTGCCAGATGTGGCTCACGTGCGACATCATGTGCTGCACGGCCTCCATCCTCAACCTGTGCGCCATCGCGCTCGACCGCTACTGGGCCATCACGGACCCCATCAACTACGCGCAGAAGCGCACCGTCAAGCGCGTCATGATCATGATCGGCCTCGTGTGGGCCATCAGCGTGGTCATCTGCCTGCCGCCGCTGTTCGGCTGGAACGACTGGCCCGACGTGTTCACCTCCGACACGCCCTGCATCCTCACGCAGGAGCGCGGCTTCGTCATCTACTCCTCCTCGGGCTCCTTCTACTGCCCGCTGCTCATCATGACCATGGTCTACATCAAGATCTTCACGGCCACGCGGAGGCGCCTGCGCGAGCGGGCCAGGGCCTCCAAGCTCAACCAGATCCCCAACAGCGGAAAGGCCAGGCTCACCCGGGAGGAGGACTCCGCCGTGAGCGAGAACGGCCAGAACGGCTACAATGACACCAGCACGAAAAAGCTGGTTCAGAAGAAGAGGCGAAAGAAGAGGAAGTCAGGGAACAAGGGCCAGGCCTCGCCTGCGACGCCCACGCTCGCCCCGCCTCCCATTGCGGAAACCTCGGACCTGAGCAACCCGAAGGACGAGGCCTCCCCACTCGACGAGAAGAAGGGCGCAGACGTCATCGTCAGAGTGAACCCGAAGGACGGCAGCCAGATCCACCAGTTCATCGAGGAGAAGCAGAAGATTTCTCTGTCCAAGGAGCGTCGAGCCGCCCGGACGCTGGGCATCATCATGGGCTCCTTCGTGGTGTGCTGGCTGCCCTTCTTCCTCATGTACGTGATCCTGCCCTTCTGCTCCACGTGCCCGGTGCCCAACGACAAGGTCATCAACTTCATCGTGTGGCTCGGCTACATCAACTCCTCCCTCAACCCGGTCATCTACACCATCTTCAACCTGGACTTCAGGAGGGCCTTCGCCAAGATCCTGAGGTGCCCCAACACCACGGCTCTGTAAGCTCGTGAAAATATGATTAAAAGACTATCAAATTGATGTTTTTTTTACGTTATGAAGTTTTTGTTTGACTACATGAGATACATACTCAGAGGTGACAAAATGAAGAATGTGATATTGTTGTGATCCTTTTACGAATATATAACTCGGACATCTTTAAAAAATACTGAAACCACCAGATTAATGCGTGGATTGTGCCAATCCAAATGTATAATATGAAGTTATGCCAAAGATTTGATCCCTTGATATTATGTTATATGTTAATGCTCACGTGTGTTGAAGATATATTGTTTTATGCCTTACTGACGTCCTGGTCCACGAAACAAAGATGAGGATAGGTGAAGAAAAACAAATTGAATTGATAAGGAAAATATAAGAAATATATATCATATCATATCTATACCATGTCAGTAAAGCAATATCCCTGAATGCTCAGTCAAAGGTGTGTGTATATTCTTTTATAAAGATCATATATTTGAAAAATTATGGTCAGACCACATGTATTTTAAATCAGTGTAGAATAATGATGATACTAAATACTAGTCTCTCTTACGCTGAGAATGTAAACTTACCAGTAGTGCAATGCAGATATAAAGTCTTACATATACCAAATGCCCCTCATCCCCAAACTAAAATCTATTAGTAAATGTGTATATATCCGTGTTTATGACAGATATCTATAACTTACGTCTGGAAGTTAAGGTAAAGAGCCTACTGTCGGAAATCATTCTTTAGTATAAAATGAAGATGTCTACCACAGTCATCAGGAGTTCCAAAAGCTCTTTCGATATGGCCATTGTCAGGCACAGGTGTCTGTGTGACGGGGAAGCGTGTTGGGTATGTCGAAGCACGACTTGGTGTCCACATAGTCTGTATTTCGTGTATCCGGAGGGAAGGCCTGGGGGTCATCAGGCGCGATCTGGCGGTTCGAAAGCCACGATTTGTAGGTTCTTCCATAAGAAATTTATGTTTCATTAATTTTAGAGTAATATTGTATTAGACTGGTACATATCTCCGATAGTGGGAGATTTATAACTATTGAAGAGCCTGCCGTCTTGTGATACTAAGGACTCTTTAAGGTTTTAGCACATTAAGATATCATATCACAAGATGTGAACTTTGGCAGCTTTATTGTTGTAATAGAAAGTGAATACCTTTTTTCTGTTTCTCGTTATTTGAAGAGTTAGATACTGACAGCTGTTGTGATATCTGTCTAACAACGATGTTACTGGATAACTATATAAAGTAAAATAATAAGAATAAATATATAAGAAAGATATATATATTAGAAGAACAGCCATGTAGCGCTACCCAACTGGTTTGGGGAAGATGCAAGTGCTTAAGGACCACTTTGTAACAATTCATCCCAAGTAGGTGGTAAATCACCATGTTTGATTTATCATTTCCGCTAATGCTATTTTGGAGTGAATGCACTAGTCCTCAATAAATGAGTGGACAACTAAGCAAAGAATAGATGTAACACCAACACTGTGTAGTGGATTATTTGCTATGATCTGATTTGTGATATAATATATTTGATTAGCTAAGAGATATACTTCATTTCACGTTTAACTCATGCACCCATTGTATGGCTAATAAAGGTGATGGGATACACTGAATTAGATAACAGCGGTCTGCATTTTGATACATATTTCCCTTTTATCATATTTCCTTTTTAAATCCTTTGGGAGATTGGCATCCCAAACTGAGCCCCAAAAGGGGGTGCCAAACTCTTACATCGATCCTTGGCAAACTGATTTATGTAATTTGTGCAGTATACCTGTAATTGGTGAGTTACTAAATATAACTGTTACAAAATCATAGTGCAATTCATTTCCTTGTGTACTTTAGCTGACAAAAACGTGTTATTAACGAAAGCGGGTTATCTGATTATAATAAAATAATATAGTACTTTCACATTGTTAACCGATTTCGAAATGGGAATTTTTCATGTAACAAAAGCTTTATACTTCATAAACTTTGGAGATAAAAGCTTTCTTTATGCTGCTGCTCCTACGCTAATAATGATAATAATAATGATAACAATTAGACGAAGACCAATGATATTAATGGCGATGAGAAGAAATACAATGATATTCAAAGTATAAATAATGTAAATGATAATAAAAACAATTATGAATAAAACAAGAAGAATAACAAGGACAAAGATAACATTATGATAGTAATTATTATTATTATTATCATCGTTATCATCATAATCCTATTCATCATCATTATCATCCTTATATTTTTTATTAATATCATAGTAATGATACTTATAATGATTAAAATAAAATATTGATAAGAAAAATGATAATGATTGTAATCATGATTATAATAATAAATGTAGTAATGATAATGATAATAGTGATAATAATGGAGAAAAGTAGTATAATGATAATGATAATAACTAACAAAAATGGTAATAATAATAATAATATGATACAATCACAGTGATCACGAAATTAATAATAATTGAAAAAGTATTTTTAAAGATAAGGATAATAATAATGATCATGATAACGATAAGAAGTAATAAAGATTACAATAACAATAGTTATGAAAGGCATATAACCAGAATGCTTGAACTCAAAACAAGAGGTTATTTCCGTAACTAATACGTATATGAATAGGAAGTATGATTTGAATAATGATATCATTGATATCATTGTCGTTGCTGTTATAACAACAACAGCAAAAACGGTAATATCAACAAATGCGATATATTTCATATCGTGATTTTCTTCATGGTTATTTCTATAGTTCCCACACTCAGTATTATGATTGCTATTATTTTAACAGTGTGTGTATGTAGGTGTGTGTGCGCACACACACACACAAACACATACACACACACACACGCTCTCCCTCACTCTCACTCTCACTCTCACACTCTCTCTCTCTCTCTCTCTCTCTCTCTCTCTCTCTCTCTCTCTCTCTCTCTCTCTCTCTCTCTCTCTCTCTCTCTCTCTCTCTCTCTCTCTCTCTCTCTCTCTCTCTCTCTCTCTCTGTTGTGTTGTGAAGATATTCTTTTTCATTCTTACCTTTTCTACACCCTTATAGATAACATGGAAAATTAAATAAAAAATGATATAGTTTTTTTTTCCAAATTGTTAACTGACCGAAATAGGAATTTTTAATGTAACAAAAGCTTTATACTTCATAAACTCGGAAGAAAGCTTTCTTTATGATGCTGCTATTACGTTACTAATGATAATATAAGTAATAATAATGACCAATGATGATGATGATGGCGATAGGAAATACATTATTTAAGAATTATTAAAAAAAAAAAATCATATTAATAATGAAAATGGTAATAAAAACAATTATGAGGAAGATAATCATAAAAAGAATAACAAGGATAAGACAAAATTATGATAGTAATTATTATTATTATTATTATTATTATTATTGTTATTATTATCATCATCATTATTATCATTATTATCATCATTATTGTTTAATTTTCATGAATATCATAGTAACGATACTTATAATAATGATAAAATAAAATAAAAATTAGTAATGAAAATGATGATTGTAAATATATTTACAATAATAATAAAAGTAGTAATGTTA